CGGACTGAAAGCACGACTAGACCGAGCCAAAGGGTTGTGGGCAGACGAACTGCCAAGTGTTCTATGGGCTCACCGAACCACGGAAAGAACCGCCACAGGAGAGACCCCCTTTAACCTCACCTACGGCACTGAGGCAGTAATCCCAACAGAAATCGAAGTACCCACGCTGCGACTAGAAGCATACGATGAACAGACAAACGATGGCGAATTACGCACCAACCTCGACCTACTGGACGAGGTGAGAGACCTCGCGCACATCCAAACTGCGGCCTACCAGCAAAAGGTAGCTCGGTATTATAACGCCAGAGTAAAGAAGAGGAACTTCCGCGTCGGTGACCTGGTTCTCCGTATGATCATGATGCCCGAACCCGGCGTAGGGAAACTTGGACCAAATTGGGAAGGACCCTACAGAGTAAAGAAAGCACTCGGTGGGGGGGCATACGATTTTGAACCCCTAGAGGGAAAACAGGTACCCCGAGCATGGAACATTGTCAACTTAAGAAGGTACTACCTATAAACCGCCAAGGCAAGTACCCCGAAGCCGAGGTAAAAAAATGAACTAAAGGACCAAAATGGTCAGTTCGGCAAAAAACACAGCTTGAAGACAGGACAACCAACACTTAAACAAAAAAGCCGTTTCATTTCAGATAATGAGATGTACATTCAAAAAAAAAAAAAAAAGCCGTTGGCCATTTCATTTCATTTTACAAGTCCGGGGCCACTTCATCATCATCAGAAGCCACTTCAACAACACCCGAAGGCCCTACCTCCCCCTTGGAGTCCGGTTCGGCATCCGCAGCGTTGGCCATCTCTTGAGTAATGTGCGAAGTGGATATGGCGCTGGTATCGAGCTCGGGGTACGTGTTTCGGATCATCCACCGGCTTAGCTTGAAACCCCTCCTGTAGGAGTCCACCATCAGATCATCGAAATCTGGCGAAGCAATATAATCACTAACAGCTTTCTTCTTCGCATCTTCGATGCCTTGAGAGAAGATCTGGGTCCTCTCCCTGATATCCTCCTGAAGATACTCGACTTGATGCTCCAGGTCCAGCTTCAATTCCGCCATATGCTTCACCACCACCCCCATGGCCTCAGCATCTCTCTGAGACCTCGCCTGCCTAGACCGCGCAAGACGAGTAGCCTCCTCGGCAGCACGAGCAGCCTCTTCGGCAGCTCGCACCTGCCTCGAGCTCCTCTCCACCTGGTTCGCCAAGGCATGGATAGAAGAGTTCACCTACCGAAAGGAAAACAAGTGATCAGATGAACGGATAGAAGAGTAAAAGCCAAAAAACTCTAAAAAAGGGAGATCACTTACCACCATGGCATGAGTAACAGCGCGGCAGGCCACATGGTGCAGAGGGAGCTCGGTCCACGCCGCGACCTCCTTGGGAAACATGGCCTCCTTACTCCTCTGAAGAGCGTGAATAGGCGACAGCACACTCCTGAAGTTCCCCGGGGTCTCCGAACCTGATGGCCTAGCTCGCATAGGGGCAGACCCGGAGTAAGCGGGAGCCCCTGTATGAGTAGTTTCGGCATAAGGGGCCCCCGCCGGCTCCTGCATAGGAGGAACCATCTCGGGCTCCATAGGTTGATCCTCCGCCGGGTAGCCCGGCGCCTCGGGCTCCGCACCCTGGGCTGGCTCGGCGCGAGCTCGCTTAGCCACCCGTTTTCTCCTCTTCATGCCCTTGAACAAGTGCCCACCTCGGGTCCCTCGAGAATCCATCGCACCTGTGAAAAGGAGTTCAGCATCAGTAAAACAAGCAAAAAAAGATCAAGACAGGATCGCTAGGGAAAGAACCTACCCGAACTCAGGCCAGCAGCAATAAGCATGGCCTCCGTCATATATCGTTCACACTCCAGCCTAAGCCGCGCCCATTACCGGAGGCCCTTCACCGTCTCTTTATCAAGTGTGACGCCGGAGTCGGGAGTGGCCACCCCCCAGCCAGTCTGAAACGGCCACCCCAGCGCACTTCGCACCCCGAAATAGTCTCGCTTCCACGCCGGGACCTTATTAGGGAGTTTGTGTAAGAGCTTGAAACCTGGGCGAGGAGACAGGTAGTATGCCCGCCTACGCCCAGGAAGGGGACCCTCTTGCTTTTTCAGCATTAAAATAGAAGAAAAAATCTCCAAGTCCAAAG